GCAAAATGTTGATGATTTTTTAAAAATTCAGTATTGACTTATTTTCAGATTGGCCACCTGATCTCTGGACTTGAACATGAAAACTAACAAGAAAAAAATCCTGAGCTGTAGGAATACAGTATTTCATGATCTGTGATCTAGCGGACGTAGTGATATTGCAGGTTTTTGACACTTCCGGGTTGGCTTCATTTTGCAGGGCCAGTTGCTACGTCCATCTTTTATACAGTCTATGTGTGCAACAAGCACAGAGTTAAGCCAGTGCTCAGTTTATGGAGTGATATCAGAAAGGACTGATGCCAAAATTAAATCAACTCTCGAATCACTGACAGTCTTTACATGAATGCAAAACTAGGTTTTGTAAAGACTATTCATCAGTGATGCAAGGTGGATTATTGATTCTGGCTGTGCTGTATCAAAATAAGTGTGTGTGGGTTGAAGGGGGGCAACCAAATCATGTGCTTGTGCGACCATGTGAGAAAGTTGTTCGCACCAGTTCTACGAGTAAAAAGTAGGCCTGCAGCCCTGCAGCTGTCGAATGCATTTCTTAAAAAATAAACTGCTTAGCTGATAGATATAACTTCTCTGATTTTATTGTTGACCAACAGTTCACAACGTTGAGGTCGAAAGTTTACAATCGTATAACGAGTACCATATTATAAATGATGGCTGATATTTGAAAGTTTAAATATTGATTGTTTTGGTTATATTGTTGATCCCTTACACCACCTACCACTGTTTACATCAATAAGTTAGATAGTAGAAAAAGAAGAAGTGGCAGAACGAGTATAAATAGTGGTAGCAGTAATATGTCAACACGACAGTTTACCATTAGGAATTTTTTTTAAGGCCAATGCTGATAACTTCAAGAGCTGGGAGGCCAATGGCAAATATGTGATGCCAGTATCATGTTGTTGATGTTGGTTTTATCAGAAACAGTTCAGCCATATATCAACAGATCACTCTCAATAGCAACTGCCAAGTGTTATGCTTTCTTATTAAAACTAAATCCTAATGTTAAGTTTTGATATCTAGAGCTAACAATCACACTTGCCTGCCATCCCACAACTATCTCAAACCACAAATCTTATAAATGTTCTATGACCACAGCTCCTCGGGAGTGGGAGTAGAGGTTGTCTATACAGTACTGTTGAGCCCTGTGAGCTACAGACGGGTGACAAAGTAAAAACCAACACAAAGCAAGGTGCTGGGCCACCGTTGGTGGACACGCTCCCTCCTTTCACTTTCTTTTTGAGGGGATTTCTTCTTTGCGCTAGACAGTATTTACCTTAGGTAATACACATCCTTCTGGCCGATGCTGGAACCTGAGCGTCGGACAACCTCTTTGCGTTTCCAGCCCTCTCCAAGTACAGTCCACTTGACCCATCCCTCATCAGGATGTGTTCGCTTACGGCGAGGCACGTGAAGCCTGAATTTAAAAACAGGAGATGGGAATTAAACAGGTTTGAAATCTTTATGCTACACCAGGGGGAAACCAAACTGCACATTAAGCTGTCCAAGAAAATGTTATTTTAATACGCTGTGATTGTTATGCCTTCATTTACTTTCAACAGACAGAGGTAAAGACGCCTAGAGGTTTGAAATGAGTTGAAGGACATAACAAGATGTTCAAAAGCCTTCCTAATTTTCATTGACAGTTCCTCTGATTATGTAAAAATCAACTCCCTGCTGAATTCAGCCAGGAAATCAGCACAGCATCTTAGCCCATATGCATCACTACCACCAGCGTAAAAACGATAAAGGAAACAATTTGGCTTCTGTGTTTGCATGCCGACATAAAGATCTACATTTTGTCCAAAGATGATGCAGCTCATTATCACATCGCAGCACAAATAACAAGGAATTTGCAGAGAATCAGCATCGCATGACCACAGAAAGGTGTATAACAGTATTATTGAACCTACTGATATATCCTTTTGGAAGCCTTCTCGCTGCCTGCCACACTCTCGCTCCTTTCACTTTCTCCTGCCAGGCTTTCTTCCTCTGGATCATTCCTACTGTTGGCATCATCTTCATCATCTTCAAGTGGTTCAAACCAGTCGACAGGAGGCTCACCACCGGTACCTGCCTCTTTGTCTTCCGCTTCTGTTTCCTCTACTGGATCAGGGCTCAGCTGTCCTTTAGTATTGAGAAGGTCTGAGGGTGCTGGTGTTTCCTCAGAGGTGCTCTCTTCCTCGCTGCTCTTGCTCTCTGTTCTTGGTTCCACATCATCATCATCTTCTTCCACAGGCTCTATGCCAGGGAGCGGGCTCTCAGCCTCCTCATCCATTGATGCACTGGTTTGGGCTACAAAGTGTTTTCCTGGAGACAAACGAGACACCCTCCGCAACCGCTTTTGTGTCCCATTTAAAGTGGTGTCTTCTCACACTGCTGGTGGATTCAGCAATGGCCTGTGTGGGTTGGGAGGGCAATACAACCGCACGGATGGCTTCCAGCTGTTCAGTATAGCATGACAAAGCCTGGAAAAAGATTACAAACAGAGATTAAGCACTGTCCCATGCTGTGTTATTGCCAAGTTAGCTCGCATGTATAGCTACTTGTCCGCGGTTGATTAGCTAGCATTGGGATGTCGCGAGCCAGCTCAAACAACGTCAGCGACACTTGCTAATCTCAGTCGGTAATAATATAGTTACTGCTGGAAGCTCGCATTTTTATCTACCCGTAGTATCCTAATATACAGTTAAGCGACACACCAGACAATACTAGCATTGTGCAGCCACTGTGACTGACGCTAGGCTAGCTGGGGTAGAAACTCAAAGCGGGAGTAACGTTAGCCACCGTTAGCTTGCAGCACCCCTGATTCCTGTGCCGATATGCTTCAGTTATCGCTGAGTTGAGATCTGTGTACCGTGACTACATTAACAAAGCTTTGTGATCGGGTGGATCGACAGAAAAAACACACACACCTTCAGGGTAATATTCCCCAGATGCTTGGCACTCTAGTCACAACACGTAGCTACCCCCCTGCACTTTACGAGGTAGGGCTAACGTAGATAGCTACCATGCATGTAGCACTAGCAGAAGCGGGAGGTGGGACAAAGAGGGCTGAACAGTCAAGATGGACACCCGCCTCACTCGCCTCGTCCGTGTCGCTGCCTGTCGGGACTAAATAACATACATATATTTTTCATTAACAAGTAATATTACACATTTGTTTAAAATTTAAAATATATTTGAATTATAAAACGACAGTAACCTCGCTAAATTCAAGCTATTTTAAATAGCAAAATAATATTTCCAAATGTTTGTAGACAATAAAAAAATACTCGATGATACATTACTGAATTCAATTCATTCTTCGACGATTTCAAACTCTAGCTTAGTTCAAACATTTTTTTCATGTTAAGGATTATATTGAAGGAGAAAAGTAAACTGCGGACTCAACACAAACACAGGACTCGTCCAGTCAGAAGATACGGAAACGGAAAGAAGGGAGGATAGATCTCCAGCATCTTTGATAAACTACGTCATCTTTGCCCTTTAACTGCGCTGCGTTCATGGACCGTCAACAAAAGTAAAAGCCATGAGACCGTTCGTGTTCTCTAATGGTGAGAGATCATCCTAGATGTATTGTGTTCGAACAACTTGAAAATAATTATCTACTATTAGAGATAAGTTGTGATGATACTGTACCGTTTTATTCTCTTTTAGGTCCATTTTAACAGACATTGGTTTGAGATGCACAAATGTAAGAGGCACCTTTGAATGCAACAGCGCGGTAAACGCAGAACTGTTGTAAACACAGTCTATGGTAGTAAATAAGAAGTTGAACAGTCCCATCGTGAAGTTGTGGGAAAGCATAGTGAAAACTTAATTTATGTAAAGGAAATTAAAATCCAGGCACCAAAATACTGCAGGAAGGCTTGTAGGCATTCTGTCGATCAGCTCTTCTCATTAAATAATATTCCTGCTATATCAACACACAAACAGGCATAATTAACTCTACTGTCCTCTGTTGTCTTCCCTTTGTTTGGGTAAGTGACCTCTTTATACCTGTAGGTGCCACCTTTTCATGTCGGTGATCATTTAAGTAATTTATAGATCCATTTACTATTTATGATACTATTATTATCCATGTGTTTCAGAAAGATTCTGCTCTTTTCTTTCATGTCGAAAACCTTCTGCACATTTAGAACACGTGTTTGACCTACTAAAGAAGAAACTTGTTGTTTTTCTATTACTATATGTTGGCAGTTTTTTTAAATTCAAATTCTTTTCTTTGTAATCTTTTTATTTGGGGGCACAAATACACTTGTTTTAAAAACTGAAAGAGGCATATTCCCTGAATACCTCCTGAAAATCCACACATGTGACTGCTGGTGTTTGATTTTTGCCTCCCCAAACACTTCTGAAAATCCATGGCATTATATTTGGACAACAAGCAAACTATTAGACTAAAGTTTTCCAGCCAAATGCAGGTGCACAGAATAACAATACAGAGTAGACCTGCATGATTTCAACATTTGTGTTTTTAATGATGGTGAGACTCACTCAGAACACATTCCCTCTCATCACTCATAATTAAGTGACACATTTATGTTTCAAATTTCAACTGTGGATGCAAAATATCAAACTAAAAGTGTACTGTCTTTTGGCTTTTGCACATTCGTAGAATCAGGCCTGCGAGAGTTCTGATGTACGACAACAGAGAACCACAGAGGGAGTTGTATTGTGCATTTGTGGACTCACGATTGGTAACACATGAGGAAGTTGGGTGGAGAAGCATGTGAGCGTGGTGCAGGATGTGTATGAGGGCAGTCAGACAGCAGTAAAGTGAGCAGTAGGACTGACAGATGAGTTCAGGAGGAGGTAGGATTACATCAGTTGTTTGTTCTGAGCCCTTTCTTGTTTGCAGTTGCGATGGTAAAGCTGATGAACAGGATCGGTCAAGAGTTTCTGTGGATTGTGAACATCATCAAGATAAGAGTGCAGGTAGGGGGGGAGTGGGTGGAAAACAATGTCAGGAGAGACTTGTGATAGTTGGGATACCAGCAAACGGTTTACAAAATGGCACTTAGGCCACCTATGGGGTCAGATGCTGGGACTGCATGAAGACTTCACTCTTTCAGCAACTGCAGAACCTTTGCCATGCTTTACTCTTGGCCAAGACATTTCATATTCTCACAGCTTTTATTTAAGTGTAATAAAATAAATTCCTTATGGGACCTTTAAATGCAAAACATGCTACAACACACACACACACACACACGGTATGATGACCGAGGAGAACGCTTGTGTTGCTGTTTTTGTGCATGCTTTGTGTTTTTGTACCATTTCAGTTTTATAAGGTAGAATATTAACAGCATATTAGTATTTTGATAACTGGGTCATCGTCTACACTGCAGTATTCACACTACTTTACATTACTAATGCATTCCTTCTTAACCTCTACCTTCCTGTATATCCCCTCATTCTCATGTTTTCTCATTTTTTCTTCCAGTGGAGTCGGCAGTGATGACTCTGAAATACTTTACCGCTCTAGTGAAGAATAGATAAAAACAGGCTTAAGAGTGAGTTCACACCGTGTTCACATTCTTGGTTAAGCTGCATTTTAGGCTAAATAGTTAAAAGCGTCACATTCAAAAGGCATAGAGATGGTGGAATAAATTACACATCACTCTCATTTGCACACCTCATTTTCAGCAAGTTGAAGGTGTTTATTTGTGGGTGACCATACCAAAAACAGCAGTTTTCATTCAGCAGTAGTTTATCTATCACTGTCAGGAAAAAAATATATATTACCATATACATATCTTAAAATAATCATCTAGTTAGAAAATCAGGTTTATTCAAGTTAGTCTGTATTCAATAGCCGAGAGGTTAGGGGGGCAGCTATCCCTCCATTCCCTGTTTCTCTCCACTGTCACTATCAAACACAAGCAAAAATGTCCCCAAAAGAGCTTTAAAACAATAATAATAACAACTGGTCATTATCATTCCATAAGTTTACATCCTTAGCACTTAAATCTCATATTATGTACAGCGATCCACAGATCCAAGAACCGAAGCAGACTAGGACGACTACCTATCCTTGTTGCTACGGAGATCGGTTGTCAAGGGGTCGTGCTGAATAGTTTGGTGCAACATCAGAGCGAGCAGACCAGCTCTGTTGGTCATAGCAGTCCTGACGTTCCGCTCCTGTTCAAAGAGCTCGTCCAGCTTGTACCACTGTGCAGAGAGAAAAACAAAAGGAACAGGTCGTCTTCAAGAATGGGTCTGATTAAGTTATTTAGCATCAGGAAGTAAGAGAATTACTCATTATGGGTGTAGGACCAAAGGGTGTTTGCATTTTACAGATGTAATCTCAAGTAAGAGAAAGTCCAACCTTTTACATATGAATGGACATATACAAGTTTGATAAGGTGTGGGATTTCCTTCATCATTTCCTATGAAAACCTGCAGAAATTCCAAACCCATGTAACATTCATGAAGTCCTACTCACCACCCTGACTCGCTCCAAGTCCACCTCGGCTCTCCTAAGCTTTTCCCAGTTGTAATGCTTGTTGCACTTCCTTTTGGAGACTCTGCAATAATCTCCTGTCAGCTCAAACACATTCTTCACCAAAGGGCACCCGCACACCTCATCTACCGGGATCTGGGCACCAAGCAAAAAGAAAAATGACTACAAATCTCTACACTGATGCTGTTTAATGCTTCGCAAAACAGTGTCGGTTTTACACCAAGTAGGCAGTTTGTTAGGAGCCGCACTAAAGACTAAAGGGAGTTTACTGACCTTGGGATCTCTAGAATGCTCTGGACATAAAACCTGAAGCCTCTTGCAATACGTCTTGCTTTGGGGGTTGTAAACATCACAGAAGAGTCTGGTTGCACTGCAGGGAAAAAAATCATCTTAAGTAAAGCAGGTTACCATAGAAAACTGCTACAAACAACAAGTTGGTTTTCTTACCCTTCTATTCTTGTAGGATACATGGAGCCAAAAGACGTCTGACTCTCATACTGTAAAGATAATCATTAGAGACATTAGTGTGTTTTGTTTGCATACATACACCCGGTACAGTCCCATGCTTAGCAGCAACAGAAAAGAAAAAAACATTCACCTTTGCGTAACATCTCTCCATATGTCTCAGTGCCACTTTTGGATTGATGGGATGACTACAAGACACACAGAAAATCTGCAGGTCCGTATCCTCACTGTCTCCTTCATTCACCTGCAAACAAGAATGAAAGCAATGTCGTTCTTCTGTAGCTTCAAATTAACATTAAAGGTTTGAGATTGCAGTTTGACAGCCAGTCTTTGCTGTCAAGTCTTTTTACAAAAAAATCTGTTCTAACACAACAAGCAGTGTGAGTGAATGAACAAGCGCGCAGGCTGCTTCGAGCTCACCTCCTCGTCCTGCTGAACCGCCTGCTGCTTGGCCTTGGCGATGATGCCCTCCAGTTCGTGAAATCGCCGCTCCATCTCAGTAAGACGCAGCCGGGCGTTCTGCTGTTCCCGGCGGATGCGCTCCAGCTGCTTCTTCCCGTGCTCCTCAGCAATGCAGGGACTCTGCTGCCACTGCTGGATACGCTGAGGAAGGATCTCGTAAATCCGGCTGGTGATCGAGAAGTACAAAGATTTAAATGTTGATAAACTCAACATGGTTGGATTTTCTTTGGAGTTTGTTAGAAGGTAGCAAAAGCTACAGAAACACTGTCAAAGAGACAGAAAGGAATGCACAGTAGCACTTTGAAATTTTGAATTCCCAACAAAAGCTAAAGTAAAGCTAAGTTTATGCTTGCTCGCCCTGATGCATGGCAGCATGGGGCCAAAGTGACAGTATTACAGCAAAAAACTGTGCTAAATCTAAGAAGCATACTTAAATAATGTAGCACTAGGAGGGACAATGGTTTTGTAATTTGAATATAAACAGTAGATATTTAAGCTAGCAGGTTTTGATTACACCCTTTGCCCAAAGCAACGGAATTACAGATAGTTCGAGGTACTTTTTTTTTAAAAAGTTAAGCAGCAAAAAAATATTTGCTAAT